GCCTGCCCCATATGCCAATGCTGACTTGGAAAGGATGGGGTTTTTTGTTTTTTTCTTTTTTGAGACGGAGTCTTACTCTGCTGCGATCTCGGCTCACTGCAACCTCTGCCTTCTGGGTTCAAGCAATTCTCCTGCCTCAGCCTCCCGAGTAGCTGGGACTACAGGTGCACACCACCACGCCCAGCTAATTTTTATATTTTTGGTAGAGACAGGGTTTCACCATGTTGGTCAGGATGGTCTCGAACTCCTGACCTCAGGTGATCTGTCCACCTCAGCCTCCCAAAGTGCTGGGATTATAGGCGTGAGCCACAGCACCTGGCCAAGGATGAGATTTTAAAGTAATCATATAAATAAACTGAAATATCACTCAAATGTCTATTCATTTATAACTTTCCTATAGTTAAATATTTACTTAAAGAACAAACGAACACTGTATAAATTAGAGCAGCGGGCTGAAATGATAATGATCACGGGAAGCAGGAGGAACCAGGCGTGGTGGCCTCCTGGACAGACTGTTACCCCACTCTGGCCGCCCAGCCAGAGTGGATCTATAAAATCCCAGTACTGACCAGTGGTAGTGGCTCACGCCTGTAATCCCAGCACTTTGGGAGGCTGAGGCAGGAGGATCACCTGAGGTCGGGAGTTCAAGACCAGCCTGACCAACAAGGAGAAACCCCGTCTCTACTAAAAATACTGAATTAGCCGGGCATGGTGGTGCATGCCTGTAATCCCAGCCACACAGGAGGCTGAGGCAAGAGAATTGCCTGAACCCAGGAGGCAGAGGTTGCAGTGAGCCAAGATCGTGCCATTGCACTCCAGCCTGGGCAACAAGAGTGAAACTCCGTCCCAAAGGTCAGGCCTTTCCCACCCTCCCTGGGCACTGCCTACCTCAGTCCCTGAAGACCTCCTCACTTCCCTACCCACAGATGAAGAGACTAGATGTGCACAGACAGGCTTTTTATCAGAGAATTGGATAACACGAACAACAGAGATGTGTGAGATGCCCAGTTCACGTCCTCGGTTAGATTTGCACAAGCTCAAAACTCTGGGTAATGATATCCGTAGATATCATCACAGGTATAAGATTATAGACCATTCCTATTTTTTAAGGCACAGATTTATCGAGTTATACTTTATACACCACACAATTCACCCATTTAAAGTGGACAACTAGATAGTTTTCCATATAGTCACAGAGTTGTACAACCATTTAGGACATTTTCATCATCCCCAAAGAAGCCTCATAACCTTCTTAGTCACTTCCCATTTCCAACCCTCCCCAACCACAGCTGTTAGGCAACACTAATCTCCTTTCTGTCCCTATAGATTTGTCCATTCTTGACATTTCAATGGGATCATGTAACATACAGTCATTTGTGACTGGCTTATTTCACTTAGCATAATGTTTTCTAGGTTCATCCATCTCATAGCATATGTCAGAATTTCCTTCCTTTTTACTGATGAATAATATTTTGTTGTTTGAATATATCCCATTTGGTTTTTCCATTCATCAGTTGATAGACATTTGGGTTTGTCTTAGTCCATTCTTTTTTTTTTCTAAGATGGGGTTTCACCATGTTGGTCAGGCTGGTCTTGAACTCCCAACCTCAGGTGATCTGCCCGCCTTGGCCTCCAAAGTGCTTGGATTACAGGCATGAGCCACCACTCCCGGCCTTGGGTTTGTCTTAGTTTTGTGCTGCTGTAATAGAATATCACAGACTGGGTAATTTATAAATACTAGAAATTTATTTCTCACTGTTCTGAAGGCTGGGAAGTCCTAGATCAAGACACCAGTATCTGGCATCTGGTGAGGGCTTTTCTGCTGCATCCTTCAGAGGGAAGAAATGCTGTGTCCTTACATGGCAGATGGTGGAATGGCAATAAAAGGAACAAATTCCCTCTGTCAAGCCCCTGTATCAGGACACCTTTGGGAGGGGCAGGCCCATCAGGACCTAATTACCTCTTGAAGACCCCACCTCTTAATATAATCACACTGGCAACACCTGAACTTTGGAGGGGACGCATTCAAACTAGAGCTGAGTTGTTTCAGTTTTGGGGGTATTATGTAAACTGCTGCTGGAAACACTAGTGTACAAGTTTTTTGTGTGGATGAGTTTTCAATTATCTTGGTTATATACCCAAGAGTCAAACTGTCAGGTCACATGGTAACTCTACGTCTAACTTTCTGAAGAAACTCTAGACTGTTCTCCAACTTGGCTGTACCCTTTGCCATTCCCACCATCAGTGTTTGCGGGTTCCAATCTCTCCATGTCATCGCCAACATTAGATACTGTCTGGTTTTTGTTGGCTACAGTGATCTTAGTGGGGGTGATGTACGTGGCCCCGATTGTTAATGATGTTGGCCGTCTTTCCATGTGCTTATTGGCTATTTGCACAGTTCTTTGGAGAAATGTCTATTCAAACCCTTTGTCCTTATTTTAATTGGATTATTTGTCTTTCTATTAATGTGTTGTAAGAGTTCCTCGCATACTCTACTTAAGATAATTTTTTTCCAGACATAGGATTTGCCAGTATTTTCTCCTATTTTGTGGGTTGTGTGGTTTTGTTTTGTACTTCAAAGGGTGTCCTTTGAAGCCTTAAATGGACTTGTCTCCATTTAAGGACCCCACAAAGGGTCTCCTTTGAAGTACAAAGTTTAAAATTTTGATGAAGTCCAACAGAGCTGTTTTTTCTTCCGTTGCTTGTGCTTCCGGTGTTAGCCCACTACGTCTTGGAGCTTCCTCGGTGTTGGGTCTGTACATGGCCGAGCTGGGCCCGCTGGGCTATTTTCTACTGTTTCCACTCTTCAGGTGCAGAGCTTCATCTCCCCTCTGGCCTTAACAAGACCTCACCCCTGGCTCATCTGGTCAAAACCCATTTGACCTTATGGTCGGTCCAGTTAGTGTTTTGTCTGTAATGCCTTGGAGCATGAATTCTGACATTAGACTCATCACACACAGGTTGGGTGATCTTGCCTGAATAGGGCTCAGTTTCTTCCTCTTTAAAACTTTGTGAACATTATAGAAAATAATTCATGAAAAGTACTTGGCCGGGTGCCTGGTACATTGTAAGTAATAAATGTTCACTGTTCGTGTAATGCAGTTTCTAGTTATTTCTTACTTTTGCAAAATGGACTGGTTTCTGTTGCTCCAGGGTTTCTGGTTCCTTGCTCTCCCTTTTCTTTTTTTTTTTTTTTTTGAGACGGAGTTTCGTTCATGTTGCCCAGGCTGGAGTGCAATGACAAGATCTTGGCTCACCACAACCTCCACCTCCCAGATTCAAGCCATTCTCCTGCCTCAGCCTCCTGAGTAGCTGGGATTACAGGTGCCTGCCACCACACCCAGCTAATTTTTGTATTTTTAGTAGAGATGGGGTTTCAACATGTTGGTCAGGCTGGTCTCAAACTCCTGACCTTGTGATCCGCCCGCCTCAGCCTCCCAAAGTACTGTGATTATAGGCATGAACCACCACACCCGACCTCTCTCCTGTCTTTGGTCAGTAACTCTGGCTCCACTCCATCCCCGTTAAGCTCTCAGGATATTCTGCTTCATCCCGTTCTCTGCTTACCTGGTGTAGCAACGCCTCCTCCCTGCCTTACGGATCACCCTCCGTGCCACCCTGAGTCCAGCTCTTCATCCAGACTCTCTCCTCCAGCTGTCTATGTTAGTCTACCTCACCGTTGCTTAGAAGCAGCCAGAATTTTAGGCTCTCTCTTCCCTGACGCTCCCCCTGGCCCAGGTGTGGCCTTTCCCTGGGCCTGGCTGCCTTTTTGACAAGTCCATTTAAGGCTTCTGTGTTTGCACCTGCTCACCCCTTCCCCTGCTCTGCATCTCTGTGTACTGCACTCCTCCCTCTCCCTGCCACTCCCTTGGTCTGCTGGCAGTTTCTTACCCACACCAAGTGGATGCCCACCTGAGAAGCTCTCGCTGCAGTCACCTTCTGTCTGCAGTGTTCTTCCCCAGCTCTCTGCTTGGCTCAGCGCCTCGTCTCCTTCAAGCCTTTGCTCAGATCTCACCTTGGCAATAAAGCCCACCCTGATGATCCAGTCTAACACTGTTACTATCCTGTCCCTTACTGCGGCCATGTTCAATCGCCCTTGTCTGCCTTAGGGCTTCTTCCACAGCAATTATCATCTTCTTTCTGCATAATTTGCTTCTTTATTATTTGCCATTTAAATATTTTTAAAGACTTTTTATAAGAAGCCAGGCGCGGTGGCTCATGCCTGTAATCCCAGCACTTTGGGAGGCTGACGCTGGTGGATCACCTGAGGTTCGGAGTTTGAGACCAGCCTGACCGACATGGAGAAACCCCGTCCTTAATAAAAATACAAAAAAAATTAGCTGGGCATGGTGGCACATGCCTGTAATCCCAGCTACTTGGGAGGCTGAGACAGGAGAATCACTTGAACCCAGGAGGCAGAGGTTGTGATGAACCAAGATTATGCCATTGCACTCCAGCCTGGGCAAAAGAGCAAAACTCCATCTCGAAAAAAAAAAAAAAAAACCCTATAAGAATATAAGCTCCCCATGGGCAGGGATCTTTGCCCCTTTATTTTCTGACATAGCCCAAGAAGCAAAGCAATGCCTAAGGCGGCTGGGCAAATCTCCGCTGAATGGCTGAATGGTATGACCTGCACTCCTCTGATGGCTAACAAGGGTTAGCCGTCATGGGTCCCCTCTTTTGTGGGTTGCCTGTTCATTCTTGTGTCACTTTGTCCAAGTTTCCTTTTTTATTGATTTGTAGGAACTCCTTAGATTTTCATAACAGAGATCCTTTGTTAGCATGCCTATTCCTTGTATTTGCAGCTAGTGTCTGCTGCACGCATGGTGCACGGTACCACAGAGGATCCAGTAGGTAATATTGAGAGAAGTCACAAATACTCCACCAGCATCTTCAGGTTACTATCAGTAGGCATGGCAGTTTAGAATGGAACAAGGGGATTGCCTTTTGAAAAGTTACTTAATTAAGTAATTACAAGGGAAAGAAACTGGCCAACTCACCCTGGCAAGCAGTCCCCACAGATGGCATCACTGGTGACTGAACAATTTGCCTTCTGAAAGCGGTTCACCAGTGTGCAGTCCAGACACGGCTTGCATTTCTGGAAACCCCAGTCCTCCTTGAACCTGTGCAGCCGGCACGTCACACACTGCGCATCCTCCCCATAGCCGAAGCCACATTCCTGTGGGGATTAACGGGCAATAGAAAGCTATTCAGACTTTGCAAGCATGAAAAAGGAAAGACTGCTGGGATGAAACGAAGACCTGGTCTAATAATTACTAAGTGTCGGCCTTCCTAGACACAAAGGCAGCTCTTTCAGCAAGTTCAAATGTGTCTTCCACTGCTAATGATCTCTCTTACTACGGCAAGTCCATTTAGTGATCCACTTTATACAAGAAGCCGTGAGCATGGGAATAATCAAGGGGCTCTCAGGCTCCCACCGCTGAGTTACTACCAGTGGATGGCAGAATTATGGCACTTTCTTCTCCTCTAATTAAGCCAGTCATGTACATGCTCAGAAGCTAAAGCCAGAGAAACATCCAGACACTTAACTTCCAGGGCAGAACTCTGATATCAGCGGTATTAGTTTAAAAAATCAGTACTCGGATATCAGGGGTATTAGTTTAAAAAATGAGGATAAGTTTGTAACAATTTTCATTAGCGGACAAGCCTAGAAATCAGCCCAAATGGAGAGCTTCTTGAAATTGTTAGAAATTTAGTATTTCCTGACAGTAGAAAGAGTCTCACACTTTTGCTAAAAGGATATTAACTTCCTGTTGAGACAAACTCTGTTGTACTAAAGGTTTCAAGCTTCTCTAGATTTGAACATCAGAACATACTGTTTTCCAAGAATGTGCCAAACAAATGGCTCTTTGACCTACATACCATCATTTCTACAAGTTCAAGAATTCAGTAAACTATAGCTTATCATATAACGCAGCTGTAATGCAACCATAAAAAGAAGAATGTAGATGTGAGATGTGCTCATGACAATTTTTTAAAAAATAAATTTTAATACAGAATTAGAAGTAGGATTCCATTGTTTACAAAAACATTCATGTAAGTACCAACATTTGGCCAAGAACTTTACACCATTATCTAAATAATCCATATTCCTTCCCAATTTGGGGAGCACTGCCATTTTTTCCACTTCACAGGTTGGGGGAAGGGAGCTTCAGAGAAGTTATGTACCTTGTGCTAGGTGACAGAAGTAGTGTTAGAACCAGGATTTGAACCTATGTCATCTAACTACAGAGTCAGACTTCACTACTGCTACACCATAGGACCTGCCTGGTATTTTATATATCCATATACGTATTACCTGTAGGAAGGTGTGAAAGACTACACACTGCTGCTAACACCTGTTGTTGATCTTTGTGATGGTTTCTATAGAACACTCATCATTAACAAAAAACAGTGGCTTAGGAGGAGCAAGAAGGCCACTCATGCAGGCAGCAGGCTGGGCAAGCCCACAGATGCAGACTGGACGCCACAGAGGAAGGAGGGGTTGCACAGAATCTCAGTTTCCTCATTTGAAAACTCTGGATGCTAGAATGCGAGTCCCACCTAGTTCAACATTCCCATTTTCCTGTAAAATTTATATATTTTAATTTCTTCATCCATATTTATATACAAATCAACTAAGCAGTACTTACTGACCAAAAATTAAATGAAAACCAACTTGAAGGGTAGTGCTGCCTGTACCTGCCCGATGCGGAGGAATCACTTCCATCTAGATTCTTACTAATTAACTCATTCACATTTTGGATGAGTGATACTTTCTTTCCTCCTTTGAATGACTCTGCCTGTCTTTCAAATGTACATCAGGAACTCACACAACAAAGAATGAAGGAGGAAAAGGTGGAAGGTCAGCCTCCTCCTCACTCCTGAGAGCTCAAGCCACACAATGTTCTGTATCAGAGGCATAGAGGAGAGAGAGGGGGAGAAAGACAACACTTGATTTAAAGAACCGATTAACAAGTCAGAATTTCTTTAAAACTGTTAAAAGGGATTACCTCTTTCAGGGGAGGGGAAGGTTAGAATTATGGGGCGTTTTCAAGTTTTATAATTCTGCAAAACATAATTTAATCTTTGCAGAAAGCATCCATTACTCCTGTAATAGGAAAACAATAAAGATGCATATTCAAGAAGAATTTCTTTGGGCATGTGCTGGGTCTTTGTGAGGTAATCACTGTGGCTCTGGCTCTGCTGTGACAGCTGTTTCTGCTGAGCACTTGGTTGCTGGGAGAGCTGTGTGCACGCACAGGCTTTCTGACGTACAGGAGAGAGCCTCCCACTCCCACCGTCCCTCGGGATCAAAGCACGGGTCCACGTGACTTCTGGGGGTGGTCTCCGCATTGTTCCCATGCTAGCCATCTCCACAGCAGAGGTTCTGGCAAGAGCAGAGTGTTTCAAAATCACACTTTGATCTAGGCAGCTTGAGGCTGTAAGAGTCTCACGTACAAGTTAAAACACAACAAAGGAAAGGAAAAGGAGAAGTAGAAGAGAAAACAAAGGGAGAGAGCAAGGAGAATGCAGAGGAAGAGGTGCATTAACTGGGAATAAATGTCCTCTGAAATTCTGTTTCAAGCCAGGTTGATATAGGAGAAAAGTATGTGTTATCCTACAATGGATGCAAAGACACATGAGTTTCAATGCCAGCTCTGACACTTGTTGGCCAAGATGTTTTAGGAATTCTCTGACCCTTAGTCTCTTCATCTGCGAGATGGGGATAAGAAAACCTGCCCTAAAGGTTGTGTGAGGAATAAACGGGAAAACATATAAAGCTGCTAAACTCTAAACAAAGCACAGAATGCACATTCTCTAAACAAATTATACCTATAAGTGTTATAATTTTGGATTTTCGATGACCCAATAAACCAACTTTGCTGATTCAAGTATCATAAAGCTTCTCTAGAAATAAAAGGAACATCAGACCCTAATTTCCATCTAACACATTTTTATTGACTAAAAATCTTTCAAAAAGAAATCATAATTTTCTAAAAAAAACAAATGTTTACTGGAACACAAACTCTAATCAACCCTATCTGAGTCAACTGCTGCACCATGCTGTGAGACAGCCCTGTGTCCCTGCCCCTACTGACTGTCTCCAAGTCAGCTCCTCCCTTCACTGAGAAACTGTGTAAGTAACCCACAGGCTTAAACAGTTTGGGTGTCACATGTCTTTTGAAAATGAACATACAGCTTAATGTGGGGGAGGTCTTTGTGCTTATTTTTTGACAAAATAATAAACTTAATTGAACATATCCCAAATACTCATGGAAACTTTTATAGAGACTATTTGGGAAATTGTGCTTAAAATATATTTTCTCTAAAGTATTTACTGTTTTCAAAAATATAATATTTTTGAAAGCCTAATATTAATTTGAAACTATTAAAAAATAGCCTTCAGTTCATAAAAGTCTAAGAAATTGATGAAGTGGCCATTCTACACGTTGAATTAAGTAGAAACATGAAATAACTAGAAATTCAGAGGTGATTCCAAGGAATCAAATTACAGAATGGTGCCCATGACAGCTACCTCTTTTTGAGTTGACCATCACATTTCTAATGCACCTTAAACACAGACTCTGTAAATACTCGTAATCCAGGCTATAAACAGCATATAAATATTAAATTTCCTCCAATATAAATGTCTGCTTTGATGTTTTCATTTCATTCAGTGAAACTGGGTGGTTAAAATGCCTTGAAATCTTCCCCATTAAGTTCAATATATAACTACCAAGAACAAAAGAAAGAGGCAAAACAGCTGAAGGGGAAGCTCAACAGCCTCCAAATGGTGACACTGGTTAGCACAGCCCGACACTGCCTTCACAGAACCGCGTCACTACCCGGGCCTGAGATCTTTGCTTTGCTTTGCTTTTTGCCGCTTGTATACTAAGAAACTATTACACACACGAGATTAAAAAAAATAATAATCAAACAGTTCACCTTTCTTCCCATCCCTCATCTTTAACTTCCCACTCCCCCCACCCACAGGTTTTAGGGTAACCTGCCAAAAATGTCCTCCGAGAGCGTGTGCATGTATTTAATCAACACTGTTCTGCAAGCAGACTTCTTGTTTTCTCACTCCATGCATCTTGGAGAGTGCTCCATATCAGCAAACAGAGAGTATTCCCTTGCGTGGATGGAGCTGGAGCTGTTCTGACCACTGCACCCCATGTCCTGGTACAGAGAGAGCCTCCATTTGGTTTGGCCCACTGCATTTGTATTGATCAGATGACCTAACCAGGCAGCAAATAAAAACAATATCAAATCTTTTGTTTTTCCTCCATAACTTTCGGATAGAAAGGAATAATTTCTCCAGGTATATTATTTTCTGCTGCAGGCAGACAAGTAAGCAAATAAATAATGAAATGAGCTAGGTTTGGGTTTAACCTTTGGACAAGGACTCTCTCTTTGACCAAACTCTAGATAGGTTCGTATGAGCCACTGTTTGTTGGGGCCTGTTCTTAAGAGTCCAGTTTCCCAAAAACCTGGCTAAATCTGGCCATGCTTAACATCTTATCAGGTTCTTCAACCCTCACCACCCCCCAGGTGACGTCTGGTCACCCTAGCCTGTCTTCAGCAAGAATCCTGTGAGATCAGTTTAGCCAGAATCTCCATCACCCCTGATGGTTCCTCTTCGTGATTTTCCATCCCCTAAACCCAGCCTGCTCCTTGGCTATAAATCCAACTTGCCCATGCTGTATTTGAAGTGGAGCCCAGTTCTACACTGAGCCTTCATTTCCTCTGCTGCAATAGTCCTGAGTAAAATCTGCTGTTCCACTGTCCAGCTCTGGGTTTTCTTTGAGACTTTCCAAGTTGCACTAGGGTTGTCCCTCCCATCATGGCAAGAGGAGATGGTTATGGCAAAAGAAGGACTGTGTGTGTGTGTGTGTGTGTGTGTGTGTGTGTGTGTTTGTCTGGCAAAGGGAGGGCAAGGAGAGTACCGGCAGAGTATGTCCATCATTAACCTGGGCTTCAGCATGAGGAACATGGGATTATGTTTATGGAGCATGGTCTACCATTAACATTAATAGTAGAAATGCATTTCTGCTTTAAAATACTCCATAGCCTGTATTCTTGAAATTATGACCTGGCATGTTAAAAGCTGGAAGGAAGTACCTAGTACTTCGCCAAATCCCTGAGAAGTTATGTTTATCAATAAACTTTAAGATG